ATGCCCTGTTTGTGGCGAGCATGTCTTTTCTTGCACATGGCTGTGTCACTGCTCTGCTCTTGTGCAAGGCCCATGGGGACAGATGCTCCCACTTGAAGGTCCTTATGGGTCCACCCACCTGCTAAAAATGATAGCAGAGAAAAGGCACACTCAGTCCCAGCAGAACCTTCCTCCAAGTTCCACACAAATGCCTGCAGAGCTGAAAAGCCAGAGAGAAGATGACATGGGAGAGAAAGAGGACATGCACTAGGGCAGGTTAGATCCACATCCAGATCAGCTCGGGGTCCTGAAGCTTCACAATGTAGAGACCCCAGGTGTGCACACGCCTGCCAACACTGCCTCACACACGCAGCCCTTTTGTGCCTCCTGGCAAAGTTCATTAAGTTCAGTACTTCCTGGGTCCTGCCAGATGGGAAGAGGAAAATCCAAGTCAGTCTCTTAATCTGTGAAATGGATAGATCAATACCTGCCGTGTCTAGTTCTCAAAGCTTTCCTGAAGGTCACATGTGAGGATGAGCATGAATAAATTTTGCAGGCAATTCGAATAGAAAATTCTAATAGAATGTAAATTTTATGAAGGCAAGGATTTTGTTTTGCCCACTGCAACATTTCCAGACCCTAGATCGGCACCTGGCACTGCGTGGGTGTTCAATTAATTTGACAAGTCAGTGAATCAATAATTGCATAATACCAATCATAAATTAATATAATTTATCATAAAACCATGGAGTCCCGTTACCATTTAAGGTCTACTTGCGATGATGCATGCTATACATGAGCTTACTAGGTAACAGGGCCTTTTTGTCTTTTGCAAACCAAAATTCCTTTAAAGAGTATTAGGCAGTACCTCAGTATTTGACAAGATATAGGAAGAGTTCTCGTAGTTGAAATGGCAGCAGCTGTAGTAATTACAGTAAAAAAACAAAAACAAAAGCAAAAAACCCTTAATTCACAGTCACGTGCCCTGCAAGTAGTGATCTGAAAAGCTGCTAAGGACCCAAGTAGAAACGAAAATGCTTGAGTGGCTGACATAGATGTCCTAGTGCTTGTGCATTAGAGAGCAACTGTCCCCACTTGGAAATGATTAGCTCTTATCTCGCACCTAATCATAACATGCACAGCAATTTATTTTTCCAAACTAGAAGTGAGATGAGAAGGCATAAAAACTGCTAAAAATAAAAAGACATACACACTAAAAATATCTAACAGGATCGATTCGTACAGCGATAAACTTCCTTACAAAGATCTCATAGCCCATTAGCATTCACTTTTTAATATTTAAACAACTTGAAATTCTTAATGATAGCTCAGCATTTCCAAGAAAAACTTAAAGGATGCTCTGAATATGCTTTCAAAAGAAAAATATGTGGGTTTCTAGCTGAAAGATTCTCTAAAGGCATGTAAATGGATAGATGACCCAGTAAAGTGACAAAGAACATGGACCCTGGAGTCAAACAAAGCTGAGTCCAAATCCAGGTCCTTCATGGTCAGCTATGAGCCACTGGACATGTGACTAAACATAGTGGAGCCTCAGTCTATTCACCTATTAAAAATTGAGGTTGACTGGTAGGATTAAATTAAAAAGTATTATGTAAATAAGGTGCTTGCCACATAATAGGAATCCAGTAGCAATAGTCCTTTATTATTTTTATTTGGAAAATTCAATTATGTTGCATGTCCCAATCTCACCATAATAATATATTAATAATCAGGATCACAGCAAAGATTAATAGTCATATTAGTTATCAACCTGGGAATGGTCATAACAAAAGAATCTTAACCCAAAAAAAAGAAAAAGAAAAAATCAGCCTTCAGTGATAAAAGGACATTTTTTTTTCTTGGAAATTTTATAAGTCAAATATTTCTAGCAGCAGATGTATTTGCTAAATTTCATGCCATAAATAGCCATAACCACTTAGAATTATAGCTACATGGCTTCCTTGTAGTTCACACTTATCAATCAGTAGGGGTTGCTAAGGCCAAACAGTTCCCAGATAAAATGGCAATGAAGAAAAGAATCAGGGTAGATGTATTTTATGGCATAAGACTCTTTTCAAATTGAAGTGTGAAAAGAATCAATTCAGCCAGGTGCCTAACTGTCCCAAGAGTCCAGATAGAGCAATTACTGAAATAACAAAAATGGATGCAAAGGAGAAAAAAAAAAGAACCTTCTTATCAAGGTAATTCTGGGAAGGCAGTTTAGCCCCTGTAAACCTTCTGTTTCCATAGGTCCTCAACAAATAGTGATTTTTGAGTCATGGAAAAACCACATGATCTGTAGTCAAAATACTCAGTGTAAATGTGACTTTTTTAGAAGGAAATGTGACAAAATTGGGGTTCTGGATTTCTAGATAATTCTCTTTGTGCAAAAGCCATTTAAATTATTGTGAGTAAAGTGACCCTCTTTTAGCATCCATCATGCCTTCTATAAACCAAAGGAGTTGGACTAGTGTTTGTTAAATCCTCTTTAATGAGGACACCCTGATTCAGTACGTGCCTGAAACAGATAAGCAGAAGTTGCTCCAGTTCGATCTGGCATGGAGTGGTTTTGGGGTTCATTCACTACCTGCCTCCCCTTCCACCTGAAGGACCTTAAGGAAACCTGTAGAAGCCCTTAGAACTTGACAGAGACCATTAGAAAATTACTAAAGTATTTCCTCTCCTTGTCCTGGTCAAAAAGTCTACAATTATTTTATTCTTACATTCAAATACAATCTTCCCAGTCAGAAATTTCCTATGATTGAAGACATGTTAGGGAATCAGGATATTTTGAAGTCTGGAACAAGAGAAAGCCAGCTTCTAACAACAAATGGCCAAAGGTAGCAGCACAAATGGCAATTCTAATAATGGAAAACACTTAGTAACCTAATGTGTTGTCTTAGGACATTCAGAGCAGCAGGGGCTGGTCCTCAGTCTGGAGTGCTGCTAGTACCTAGGGCTCGCCCTTCGAGCTCATATAGCCCAGGGTGAAGAAACTTCCAACTCTATCCCTCTTTAGGGACAGAGACCCAACTCATTAGTCCTGGGCTACTCGGTTAATAATAGAAGAGTCAAGTTGAGGGGACCCTTGAGAAGACAGCAGGTGTATCCTTGTGTCCAGATAGTTTTGTGCCATTGTCTCAAGGTTTCCAGAGAAGAGCTTTTGTGACGCTACTTCCCAGTTACTAGTATGGGACCTTGTAACCTCCAGGACTGAGAGATTGTTTCTTGACGGCAAGCATAAGCCTTTTATGTGGGTATCAGTACCTGCTTTTTGTCTCTACAGAGGCAGTGAAGAATTGCTGATGATGACTCTCAATGCCTTGGAGCTTTCTCAAGTCCCACATCTTCAGTTCATTTTTACCCCTTGGTGTGGAAATTGCAAGTGACTTCAGCTACAGACATTGTGAATTAATTTCCTATGCCTGCCCTGGGGTCTTGGGAGGAAATGGGTGCACCTGCCCCAAATCAAATGAATAATTCATATCACATCTGGGTCTAAAAGGTGATAAGCAGCACAGAAATGCAGAAACAGCTGGAAATAAGGTTAAGGGTGTCCTCCCAAAAACATTGAGGCAGGAAGGCAACCTTGTTTGGCTGATTTACTCTGGTGTGCATTCTTCTGAGCTGGATCAGCTTGGGGTTCTAGTGCACGTATTTCTCCGAATGCTCTTACTGGAGCTCAGAAGACAAGGCTCTCAGAATGACTACCTTCTCTGAATCAAGGGAAGGTCACTCAGCTCTGGAGACTTACAGCATGCCTCTGGGTACTCAGACATCAACACACAAGTGTGTCCTTCTCCCAGTGGTGGAGCTGGTGTTATTGTGAGGAGGCAAGCGATTGGGTGGGACTCCAGCTCTGTCGTTAGATGGTTGTGTCCCTTGTAGGAGATTGTCTTTGCAAGTATGTCCACTGTATACTCCCTCCTGCATACTCTTTTTAAGGAGACATTGACACACCTTTGAAGAGGGTGAGGACTATGCTTTTTCCCCACCTTGGATCTAGATGACTATTTGTAATTGTTTTAACGGATAGAATGTGGTGAATGTGGTGCTGCATGACCTCTGAGTTAAGCTCAAGAAAGGCAATTATTTTGCCTGGCTCTCTCTTTCTCTGGATGCTTGCTCTTGAAATGCTGCTACCATGTTTTGAAGAAGCTCAGGTCACATAAAGAAGACACATATAGTATTCCAAGCAACAATCTGAGCTAAGCATTGTGCAGACAGCAAGCATCAACCTCCAGATATGTGAGTGAGGGAGCCTGCAGATCATTCTAGCTTCCAGCCTTTTACTCTCCCACCTGAGGCCCTAGATATTGCGGGGACAGAGACAAGTCGTTTCTCCTGTGCCCAGGCTGAATTCCTGCCCCACAGAAATTGTGAGAGATAATAAGTTATTATTGCTGCTTAAAGGCACCAAGTTTTGGGGTAATCTGTTGTAGAGTAATAGATAACTAATTCAGTCATCTTTGGCAAATGGTGAACACTTTTGGTCTCAGTTTCCTAATTCTCTCCAGAGTTTTCTCTTGAAGGTTATCAAATGAAACAGCAACAAAAAAGAGATAGCTAATGTAAGGAGTGTCCTGCATAGTATGTGTCATGTAAAAGGGAGCCGATGTGATATTATAAGTGACCAAGGTTAGTCAGAGACGCACCCTATAGGCTGCTTCTTCTTGGGCTTCTGTGTATATCACCCAGGGCCAGTCACACTCACAGGTTGCCGTGGGTACACAGACTCTGTCCTTGTCCTGGGTGCCTTCATTTTCTCATGATTTACCCTGGTGAGGTTTCAATCCCTGAGTTAGATACTGAGTTTCTTGTGCACTGAGCTTCTGCACTCTGAGCACACAGGAGGCACACAGCAAGCATTGAGAGTTTTGTTTTGTTTGCTTTTTTAACTCAAGGATTTTGCCAGTCCTATAGAAGTAGTGTGTGTTGGGGGAACAAATGACGTTAGAGAAGGAAGAAATGACTTCCCTTTTCCCTTTCCTGTGTTTAATGATTTTCTCTTCTCTTTTCAGACTCATCTCCGGCTTCTTTCTCTTCAAAACCTCTGCTGACCTCCCTTCCAGCTCCTCTGGGCTTTTAGGGTAACCCATGTTCCAACCTACTTGCACCACCACACAGTCTATATTATCTCCAGCTCCCCCCGAGACCATGTCCTCTCAGGAAATGGGATCAACTGTCTTCTACCCATATTACTAGCAATTTGCTCAATGCTTGGCACAGAGCAGGTGCTCAAGAAACTGGGCAGACGAATAACACACGAATGAAGAAAAATGAATTTATAAAGCCAGATCTGGTTCATATGTCATTTGCTGTCATGGCAACCTAGGATAAGTCTATTTGTTACTCTTGGGACTATTTTAATCATCTGTTTTTCACTGTATGTGCAAGTGTTAACTCTGTTAAAAAGGTAAACTGAGGCACAATAAAGTTTTAAAGAGACTGTTTGAGCAAATGATGAGTCATGAATCAGGCGGCTCCAAACCAGAAGTGGTTCAGGTACTTCACGGAGGGAATGCAATGGGAAAATTTTATAGGACAGACATAGAAGTAAAGCAAAGAAAAATGCTTGATTGGTTACAGTTATAAAGTTGCTTTATCTGATCTATCCCACTGGAAGTCCTTAGTCATATAATTATAAGTCTGTTGACTACTTCTGATTAGTTGAGCTTAAGTTCTGATTTTCCTTAATACAGGCATTGCAAGAAATGGCCCAAGCTAATGTACCTGTAAGTTTGCAAATCAAGCGAGACAGGTCACTTATGAGGTCTCACTGGTTTTGTGTGCTTAAGAATTCTTCAGACCTGGTTGTTTTAATCTATTAACAACCCTTGCTAAAGGCCAGATAAACTTGTGTATATGAAAGTACTTGCAAACTGTAAAATGTTGTTCAAATAGGAGGATTATGATTTGTTTAGTCTTCATAGAAGAGAAGAAGGGTTGGGGAAAAAGAGATCAGTATCATCAGCAAAAATAACTGTCATCATTTTATACCGGGCACTGTACTAAGTTTATTAACCTTTAATCTTCTGAGCAAGGCAGAGGGTAGGTAGTATTATATAAAGTGGTACAAATAACACCACTTTACAGAAGTGGAAATTGAGGCATACAGAGTTTGAGATACTCATCCAAGGCCACTGGGATCTGAGCTCAAGCCATGTGACTTCAGAATCTGTTTTTAGCCGCAACCCTGAGCTGTCTCCTAAAATTCACCTACCCAGGAAAGCCTCTGAGACCTTCTCCCCACCTGCCGAGAGTTTCAAATGCCTCAGGACCCATTAGGCTGGAATAAAACATACCAGCAAAGAGATGTCAGGAGGGAGTTTCATAACAGGCTAGAAGGGATCTGTCTGAAGCATTTCCTTCACTGGCCAGCCATTGGCTGGGATGGCTGACACTAGAGCTTTGACTGTCATTCAGAGGACCTGTTAAAGTGTAAATGTTCCTAGGGATGATAGAAAAACTAACTGAGGCTTTGGGAAGAATTCATTCTCAGATTTTCCAGCAGCCTTCATACTTGTTCTCATCTTGAAGGCAGGTCCTTTCTTGCCCCTCCACCTTTGCTGAATTTGCTGATTTTGTCAGCGATGCATCTCCCTACCATCCCATCCTCTCTAGAATTTAGCTCAAGAGCCACCTTCTAGAAGACATTTTCTCTTATTTTATAACTGGAACCTCGTTCCTTTCATACAAGGTTAATAGAAGGACGACATTTTTAAGCAAATAGTGATTTACACTTCAAAGTGAAAGAATTAAAAATCCTCCATTAGAAACAGGTTATGGAAGAGAAAAAGAACAACAGTGGAGTTGACACGGTGGAAAGATTTCAAGACAAGAAGTCCTGGGTTTTGGTCCTGATTTGGCCTTGGTGAACAGAGTGATTCTGGCTGAGGTATGTGCCCAACTGCACCAGAGAGGTTTCAACTGTAAAACCTCAAGGAGTCTCTTAAATGTTGAGTCTAGGCTCCCAGGTAAAGGTCATGTGGGCAAAGGGTGTCTCATGGGGAGACTGAAACTCTCATTAGGCTGGGGAGAGGTTATGGAGGAAACGGTCTCCATTTTTTTGTTTTGCACAAGACTTGGGATGCTAGGCTGGTGGGTTGATGGTTTGATCCAAAACAATTACCTTTTATTTTACTTTTAATGTGAATACTTATTTCTCTTTTGAAGTTTATTTTTAAATGGCAAATCAACGTTATATATATTTATGATATACAACATGATGTTTTGTTATATGTACAAAAGTCAGACTCGCAGAAGCATACTAGACGGGTGATTACCAGAGGCTGGGGTGAAGAGGTTGGGGAGACACGAGTTTCAGCGAGACAGGAGGAATGAATTCAAGAGAACTAGTGTACATCGTGGTGACTAGAGTTGATAACCATATATTGTAAACTGGAAAACTGCTAAGAGAGCAGAAGTGTTCTAAGGGCAAGAAAAAGGATAAGTAGCTGATGTGCTGCATATGTTAATTAGCGACCCTTCAGCACCCGAGTGGAGGCTCAGTCCTCTCTGCTTCAGGGTGTCTGTTCCTGGTGTCTGTGCTGTGAGGTTGTCCTTATTCTTTTTTTTTTTTTTACTTAAATTTTTTTTTATTATAAGGATGTGGGGTACATTTCAGGGTTAGGTATATAAACACTGGTCATGCAGATACCCTTATTGATGAGGTATGCCCCTCCTTCCCCTAGCAGTTTCCCAAAACTGCCAATCCCACGCCCTTCCCCTGACAGTTTCCCACTACTGCCAACTGCTTTCTTATAGCATTACAATTGTTCAGGGCCCGTTTATGAGTGAGAACATATGGAACACTGTTCTTTGTTTCTGTGATAAATCACTGAGTATGATCGACTCCAAATTCATCCAAGTTGCTGCAAAGTCCATGTTTGTCCTTCTTTATGGCTGCATAATATTCCATCATGTATATGTACCACATTTTCTTTATCCAGTCCAGCTTCGATGGGCAATACGGTTGGTTCCATGTTTTTGCTACTGTAATTAAAGCTACAACAAACATACGTGTGCAGGTATCTTTTTTGCAGAATGACTTGAGTTTCTCCTTATTCTAACCCTGCTTCCTTGCCCTCCTGGCTTCTGTGACTTTCAGGCAAATATTCTGAAGGTCTGCAAGACCCTGTTCCAGGACCCACTAGCAAGCATGCCTATCCTCTTCACACTTGTGTCTGGGATGCAGAGGCGAAAAAACAGAGCCAGGAAAACCACCTCCCACTGGCTATAAAACAAGAAGGCTCCAAGAATGACAGATTAGAAGACCTAAGTGAAGAGCACAGTCATTCTTTTCCTCCCCTTTCTTCTTTTTCCACACTAATGTTATTAGCATTGTCATTGTTATTAATGATTTGAAAGCAACCCATGCATTAGCCTCCCAGCGTTTGCTGCTTTGACGCCACAGGGGTTTTGTCATTAGGCTGGGGAATTATCTGAATGTGGATTCAGCAGGACCAGGTGTTTCTCCATGTTCCAGAGATGTCACAGACTTTGGGGCCTTCACAGAACAGCAGTGATGTCTGCCAGCGGGTCAAGCACAAGGGTTGAGGCCTGTCCCATTTTGCTCCAGCTGTATTTGGGGCCGAAGGAATCAAAGTAGTTGGAAGACAGACAGGCTTAAACTTTTGCAAACTTCTGGCTCTGTCTAAACGCAACACATTCCTAAAGGCTCTTGTGAGACTTGTGTACTCTTAGGAGTCTTTCCCAGGTATACTTGTCTCTTTTTATCTTTTCTTTCTCTGAGCAACTTGTGCCAGTACTACGATCGGCAGTATCATACCACTGGGTGACCAAAACTGAAAAAAGTTACAGGGCCCCCATAAGCAATTCCAAAAGAGAGCCAACAACAGCTCATACAATAAGAATAAGACAAGGCAATGCAGTTCTCAACTCCCACCTCCAATTCCCTTCAAGACTTTCACAACATCACATTCTACTTTTGTTGGCATTTTCATGGCTTTTGTGCCCTGGATTTGCTGATCTCGAAGCATGTGCTTGTGTTGTCTGTTGTAGGACTCTACTGGGGACATTGATGTGAAGGTGGCTGGGGGAGAGGGGTGCGTGGAAGGGGAGGGTAGGAAAGAAGAAAGAGAGAGAAAGATGGGTTCTGAAGAAGAATTGTTTCCTGCTGTGCTCTGCCTTTTAGTCTGGAGAAAGCAACTGGGAAAGAAGGAGAAAGACCAGGTGTCAGCGCCTCCCCCCGGGAACAGCCAGAAAACCAAAGAAGAGAGAAAAAGCACTGGTAGACTTTAGTCTTTGACTGTCCCTCATGCACAAACCCTCTGTAGCTCTTTGGGGAAAATGCAGAGGTACAGCGTGGCCAGGGCGAGTCATGCAAGTTATAACCTTCAGGTCCCAATGAACAATGACTAATAATAGCACCAATTGAAGTAGCCATTTTTCCCCTCGAACAGAAGTGACTGCATTCTTACAGCCCTGGGCATAAAGCAACTTTTATAAATTTTTCCTGGCCTAGGTATGTTTTATGACTTCTCTATTCAGTCTGAAAATATGAATCAAGATTTAAAATATCTGACAGCGAGAACACTGTAGATGTTTGGGGCTGTTTGCTCATAACCTGCAAAGAAGCAGATGAAGAAAACAGTCTGGAAGAAATACAGCTGAAGAAACAGTAGCAGGTATCCCACAGTTACTCTATGCTATGAAAGAGCATGATTAATAATAAAATAATAATTCAATAAAAATAAGAGCATGAAAGCAAAACTATAAAAGCCTTTACAACATTCCACGGAAAGTATTGCTTTCTGCAGGAAGGCAGAACCATGAGGCAATGACATAAAGAGTGGACTCTTAGAAGGGAAATGTCTAGAGTGGAATTTCTTATTCATTAAGCAGGTTTCATCAAGTGCTAATTAAAGTTCTGAAAAAGAGAACTCCCGACAAGTACACTTAACAAAAGTGTTGGGTAAAACAAATAAGATTTTTAGAAATGATCTCTTAACTATGTGTCTGCTGGATGGGCTAATTGTACTGTGGCTTTCTGCTGGAAATTCCTGTGTCAAGAATAAACAGAAAGAGACATGTTTGGGAAACAATCAGATGGACCAGTGGGTGGAGAGACCCTGTCTAATTGGCATGGAGTCCTCTGTACCAGCCAAAATCACCATCACAGGCTAGTAATTGGGGATGACATAAGGCATTTTCCTTGGGTATTCTCATTTAACATGCAATAATCCTGGTTAAACTTAACTTGGATTTTTTTAGTCAACGAGTTGGAAAAGAATGAGCATTATGATAGAAGGACAGATGGCAAACTTGGACTATTTGAGGAGAACCTTCTTAGAGAGAGCCTGGAGAACCTAGGAATGGGGTTGGTTGAGAGGATGTGGCCGGGAGGAATGTCAGTCAAAGAGAGAAGAATAAGGAGGAAGATCAGCACTACTTCCAAAAACAATGATGCCAAGGTCACACTTCAGA